GGGCTCTGAAGCAGGAGGTGAGGCAGGGTAGCAGCGCCAGCACTGATAAGAAGTTGAACCGGCGAGGAGACCCACAAATGGGACGCCTTGTCTAAATAAACAGCCACTTGTTTGCTAAGCGGAAAGCGTTTAGTGCTGGCAGTGCTACGCAGAGGGCTACTCTCATTCCCCTTTGGGTCTGAGTGGAGAAAAAGGGAAAATCAACACAGCTGGAACAGAAGGAATGGGTAGAAGAGAATACATTGAAACAAATATATTTTAATTTCTTTTATTCTCCTTTTCCCCTCTCTACATATTGTAGACATGCTGCTTCTCTCTTTAACATCCCACTACTCTAAGCTCATATTCCACTGTTAAAAACATTCTGTAGGTAGTTCTGCTCCAGGTTTTGTTAGAATAAAGTTGTCCTTTATCACTTTTCAACTATATTCAAACTATATTCAACTATAGTTTGCCTTTCTCCTTTGGAGCTAGCTATCTTGCTGCTCTTGCAGTTGGCTAGAAACCACAGCTTGGTTTCTCATTCTTCATTATTATCTGCCAGACAATAATTCTGCAATCTTGGGAGAGACACTGTAATTCCTCCGTTCCTCAGTTCCCAATCTGCAAAATGAAGGTGCTAAAATGTCCTCTTTTTCCCCCTTTTCCCCCCTTTTCCTTTTAGATACCAAATTCTTCAGAACAGGGAATTTTACACCTACCCAGTGAATCAATAGACACCTGTACAAAAATACAGACACCTGTAGAAATCTAAATTTATGGATCTTCATATCGAAATGGATCCCTCTAAGAGTTTTAGCTACAAACTAACTCTTAAATGCCCGGAACTCTTCTGAGTAAAAAACAGTTGCTGAGTACTCCAAACACTAGAGTAAATAACTAAAGTGAATGACTAAAGTAATGGCTGCCAATTTAAGCAATTGTATAAGCTACAGTGCACTGGATTCTAAAATCACTTAGGCCAGTTTGTTTCATGTAGACTTGCCGCAGTATGCCCCCTGTGTACTGCTGAGGAAACAAAAGACCCATCCATAGGATGTCATTAGACCTGGAGAAGCCCTTTCTTAGGTTGAATTAGCTTCAGTCATAGATTATGCCACTCGGCTCTTTATTTTGCAAAAGCATCTCCTTTTTGCGGGCACAGTTTCCAGGTGGGCTCGAAATAAACACACTCTGAAATAATCCTTACAAAGGAGCAGGAGCTGCTAATTGGCTGTTTAATCAGTCCTACTTTGACTATTCATTTTCAGCCACTGGTTCTGAAGATATGTCTTAACAGTGGGCAGACAGCACAGAGTTTTTGTGCTGCAGATCCTAATCAGATGCGTAAATCTTCTGTCGTGTTAGTACCTACAAAATAGGTAAATGGTCATCCAGCAAAACATCCTTTCTTAAAAAGTTCCTGGGTCTGTAATTTTGTATTGTCTTATATATACAGTCATTTTCACCTGTAAGGTATATGGCAGCCTTTTTTTCTCTGTCATCTGAATAAATAGTGAGTAATTTCACAATTAGAAAGAACTTTTGGAGACAGTCCCAGGACTAAAATGTTGTCATGATAAGCCAAAATTGTCCCTTTGGATGGGCCAGCTGCACATTCCTCAATGTCAAGGGGCAGGAGCCGTTGCTATCGATCAGTCTGCCAGGCTGACTGACAGAAGCAGCCTAAAAGAGTGTTTCAGGCTGGAAATCACTGATCTCACAACCAACCCTGCACAGATTTGAGAATTGGCAGGAATATGCACAACTGGGAAAGGATTAGCACCAGCTTCATTCACCTTCTTATGGTAAGCACATGTGGCCTCTTCTGTGTCTCTGAGGCACACTAGATGCTATTGCGCCTGTCAGTTATAAAGTATTAAATGTTGCTTCATCTTTATCAACATGCGTCCAGAAAGTGTTCCCTACAGCAGTGCTGATATCACAGGTATGCATCATTTCCAGAAGGGATGGCATCACCTCTAAACAGTAGTGGCTCTTTAAGATTATTAAGAGCAATATTTGATATTTCATTTCTTATTTCTCAAATGTATCATTGGAAACATTTCATTTCTCTGGATAGAGTCTGGACAAGTCCTGAGGGAATATTTCATGCCTCTTGCAGATGATGTTTAAGGATTTAAACAGTGCTGGAAGTTCCTCGAATTCCATATGACTTTGCCTGAACATAAAGGAAAAAAAAGGAGATTTGGTCTAGGAGATGCTGTGTCCTTCAATACCTAAGGAAAACACTCCCATCAGGTGTTCAGCAGCTAGTTTGATAAGGCCTGAAATCAGCATCTGAAACTTAATTATAAAGAAAATTAAGACAAATGGTTACAAATTAGAGGTTGTGTTACCATGGGAATGTTGATGAAAGAGCTACACCCCAATTGATTTGTCTTTTCTTAGCAAGGCAATTTAATTTTCTACTGATAAGCCAGAGGTGGTGCTGATTTAAAATTCTTTACCTTGAAACCTCCACATCAGTCTTCAGTTTCAGAACTTTTTAATACAATTAACATGGCCTTTAGGTTCAGTGCACCGAACTTTTAACTTTTTAATACAATTAACATGGCCTTTAGGTTCAGTGCACTCAGGGAAAAGACATAAAATTGGGGTTTTTTTCAAGAAATGATGCATCTGTGAAGTAAAACAAAGAGGGTGAAGAGTACTGTATTATGAAATAAAATCTCATTTATTATATAACAGTTGTGTAGCTGTCAAATCTCCTTCACATCTATTCATAGGAATTCCTGTGTAGTCTCTAGCTTGACGAAATTGCAGTCCAAATAAAATGCTGTTTCCTCTGAATATTATACTGTCTTCCTTTCTGTAATTTATTATGGATCTCAGAATTGCAGTCATTTCTATATATCCATGGACAGATGTCATATATAGCTATGGTTGATGTTATAATACTGGGGTAAAAACAATACAAAATATGCCACACTGCAACTTTGAAAATTTAAAATTTAAACTTATTTTTCCAGTTGCGAAACTGAGGAAAAATTTTATTCTGTTAAAAAGCATCTTGGTAGAAAATTTGAATCTATAGTTAAACTACAGTAAATTATGTTGTTATAATCTAAGTGTAAATGAAAAATCTCAGTACAATATCTGTTGTATTAAATAGTCATTATATTCTGTTTTTACAGTGTTGTTCATGTACTTCACAAGTATATCTACTGCTCAGACTACTGACTGTCTGCACTTGAGGGAGCAATGTATAAATGATGCAAATGGATGTAAGAGTGTCTGGAATGTTGTTGAAGATGTCTGCAATATTTCAGGTAATTCTTTATGGTGTACACAGGTTTATTTTGAATTGCTGAATGGTTGCATATTCATAGTTTATCATAATATTGCTGTGGTAACTGAATGAAGTCAATGAGATTTCAAAGAGAAAATGACGGCAGAAGACAGTCAACTTCTGAAATCCTTGACAGTAGCCAATACTGTTTTTAGTTACAGTCACACTGTCACTTCAATAAGGTGATAAATGAAATTTCTGGACCATGAACAAAGTCAGAGTCTGAACCAACTCAAGAAGTCTGAATTCAGCAGAAATTATGCTCTTGTGGGATCCTGTTAAACAAAGCCAGCATGCAGCTGGGAAAAAGTTTCAACCTTGTTTTCCATAATTTGGAGGAGTTGATCTGCCCCATCCCTGGAAGTGTTCAAGGCCAGGTTAGATGAGGCTTTGAGCAACCTGATCTAGTGGAAGGTGTCCCTGCCTATGGCAGGGGGGGTGGGGCTAGATGATCTTTAAGGTCCCTTCCAACCCAAACCATTCTGTGATTCTGTGATCTATGATCTCACACGACACCCATAACAATGTAGTGGTTAGAGTAAGTTTCAAATATTGTATTAGAATAAGAAACAAATCAAATAAAGCATGCCTCAAAGAAAGTTGTGTTGTAGGGAGGCTCATTGTATTTATTCAGTGAATAGTACCTACATGTCAGAGTGATTCACATGCAGGGAGTGATGGTACGATAAAGTGCAGGTTACGATGTGACTAAGCCTCCTTGAACTGTTAAACAGATTCTCACATAAATGAAAGCAGAAAATCGGTCTCTGTCTCTATTTATTGCACTTCCAATGCTTGGTGCATCATTCCCAAGTAAAGTATGTTTTAAGTGGGGGAAGACCAGATATTATACATTTGACCTGAAACTCATCCTAATCTCTGTTGTCGTTCAGATGAAAACGTCCCTTTCTCTGAAGGCCTATTATCTTCTTGAACAAATCTTGGGTGTCAGTCACCATGTCTCTCTTACTTTAAATCCCCCCAAGACCTTGCTGTTAAATGTTGAGTATTCACTTGCCAGGTGCTGTGAATATGGAAGGGAGAAGAAGCGTGGCAGTACAGTGTGGTAGTGTCATTAGACCAAGCTAATAATGACACTTTTGTTGACTGATAAATGTCAAGGGCCTTGATCTGCCAAGGCTACATCAATACTAGCAAATAAAATGGGCCAGGGACTATTTTCTGGCCCTGAGTTCAACTGTCATGGGGCAGCATGTATCCATGCAACTAAACTGTCTTACACCCACGCTGGCTGCACAAAACTGCCTTTTGGGAGTGACTCCAGCCCCACGCTATCTTCACAGTCTAGACGGCTCAGTCCGGACCGGGTACTATGCAAAAGTGCAGCACTATAGACAGTAACTTGCCATTAGCCTAGCCCATGCCTTGGTCCTGTTCATAAATGCAGCCAAGGGTATTTAGGTACATAACTGCCATTTCTAGCAACTTAATTCCATAAGGCAGGTTCTCTGTCACTGGGAATCAGAGGTCTCTATATCTCCATGGAAACCTCCCTTCTCCTTATATTGACATTATTTGAAAAAAACAGCCATGTCCTGATGCCATAATGTGTTCTGAGCCTCAGCTGCAGCAGAGTTGATAAAATGAATGTCCCTGTGCCTGTCTTGATGTCAGGACCCAGCCTCACATTTGGTCTGTGTGGGAAGCCAGGCAGCAGAAGATGCTGCCTGACTTCATGGTCAATAGCCCATTGCTAGAACATTCACCTGCAGTGTGAGCTACCTGAATGCCTCTGTCTGTCTGATTTGTTGCAGAGATTTGAAACCGAGTGTCCCAAATCACAAGGCAGTATTCAGAATAATTAGAGCAGAAAATTCTCTGAGGGGTCCTTCTTAGTGTGTCCTGTTCCAGAGGCGTACCTGCTTTGCATAGAATGGCTGAATACTTTTAAGAACAGAGTAAATGAAAAATACATGATAACCTAATGGTTACAACAGTCCCCAAAGGACCTGGGTTTCAGCTCATGTTCTATTGAGTTTTTAAATATTTTGTGTGAAGTGGAACAGTTTCAAAATATATGGCTGCTGTCTGAAAAAAATGTGTTGGAATATGCAGTATTTTCAGGCTCAAGACAGTGACCTAAAGATGAGTTCTCTAGAACCAAACCTCTTCCCCAAATCAGAAGTAGTTGAATTTGCTTCTCTCACATCATTCACAAAGGTGTTCGCACCAAGACTACTTGCCATAAAGATCAGGATTTGTACTGTAGCCTATTCTTCATCATACCCTGCAACCAGAGGAAGTGGGCCAGCATGATGACTTCTGTGGTCTGCCCTTTGGATTTGTTGCATTGGCCCATAATATGCCATTTCCCTCACTTAATGTCATATGTGCTTATTCACTCATATTAATGGTTTGTAACTGGGTCAGAAAAACCTTCTGCAAATAAACTCTTCTTGTGATTGCTTGTTTGTTTTTGCATCTGTATATTTCCTGAGGATAATAGCCTTTGGCAAGGACTCTCCAGCATTGCAGGGCACTCAGATATTGCGTTTGGTCTAGGACAAATTATTCTAAATGTGGTTGTTATGTGCCATGACCCCAGAGGGTGTAAACCCACAGTCAGACAGCTGATGGTACCTCTCAGAGAGCCCACAGAAACAGCGACAGAAAATCTACCAGCAACATTATTAGTAAGAATAACATTATACTATCTGTCAAAAGTACTCTACATGTGCAAGACTAAAAACTTCATGAATGAGCTGTATGAATGGAAATAGCCCTTCAGTGCTGAGCAGGAGCATGTTAGTTGGAGGCAACAGGCGATGGGGCAAATATGCCTTTTGCTAATTTCTTTAAGAAAAACCTAACTACAAATTATAATTATACTCCTCTTCTGAGTTCAATAACTCAGTACCTCAGGCTGTAACCTCTGAGCTAAATGTGTGCATTATCAGGACCTCTGCCTTTTGTTCTTCAGAGCAGGTCTGGGGGTACCCTTCAGATGACTGCCTAAGTCACTCCTTTCTCTGTGAAACTGTCCATCACTGCTCCCCTAGTACTACAGCAGCATTTTCAGAGTCTCAGTTTATAGCCCTCTGAGTCCGATTCTTCTTTCACTTCCTTTTCTGTGCCAAAATACATTGAAAAAAAGGGGGTGAAAATGTCTGAGTCACCTTCCAGATCAGGATGGAAAAGACTGAAATATTTAATTTGGATGGAATCAAAAGTTTTCACTTTGAAAATGTCAGAAATGTTTCATCACTGCGGAATGAAGATTTTAAAGTTTGGATTTTGCTGGGTTTTTCTTCTTTTAGTTCACTGATTAAAAAAAAACACAGAAATTTCTGAGCTCTGATTTAACCATGAGTATACATTTTCTTAATTTTTCAGAACTGGAAACATCTGGGTTCAAAAGAAAAAAACCAATCTCAGATTGCTCAAATATTAAGGAATCACATTTTGAATTAGTTTTGGAAGTAGAGTTTATTTTTCTTTGAGAAACAGGATCATTGAGGTTGGAAGGGATCTCTGGAGATCTAGTCCACACCCCGCCCCTGCTCAGGCAGGGTCAACTGCAGGCTGTCTTCCAGGACTTGGATTTTTAATGTCTGCAATGATGGAGGCACCAAAACCCCTCTGGGCAACCTCTTCCACTGTTAGATCACCCTTGTATTAAAAAAGTTTTTTCTGACCTTTAAATGGAATTTCTTTACTTCAGTTTGTACCTGTTGTCCTGTCACTGGATACCACTGAGGAGTCTGTCCCTGCCTTATTCACCACCCTCCCATCAGGTATTTATACACACAGATATGTGTATTGGTACGCCTCTGAGCCTTCTCTCCTCCAGGCTGAGCAATCCCAGCTCTCTCAGCCTCTCCTCATAGGACAGATGCTCCAGTCCATTAATCACATTTGTAGCACTTTGCAGGAGCCACTGCAGTATGCCCATGTCCCTCTTGTCCTCAGGAGCCCAGCACTGGACACAGCACTCCAGATGTGGTCTCACCAGTGTTAGAGGGGAAAACCCAGTACTTTCCTCTGCAGTCTTCAGATGTAATTCCCACTGAGATGACTGAAGAGCTGGCTGCACAAGAACAGAGATTATCACCCTGGAAGTGTCAGCTTCTGCTCTGTCATGCTTCTATCTGTGGTCCCATGTACATAAATTATGTACATATAAATAAATCAAATTATGAATAATGGCTGCCAAGCATTAGGTCAGAGAGCATTTTTCGTAAATGCCTTGGAAGCATATGTATAAGCTAAAATATATTACCTAGAACTAATCAATGGTAAAGCAACAATAATTGAAAACCAGCAATAAAATATTTTCTGCTGTTCATCACAGCTGAATCAACATAGTGTACAAACAGACCAATACTGATAATAGATTATTTCTACACAGCTTTCAAGAGGCCAGGCACGGGAACCCCATAAATCTGATGTGCTTCCCGATTCTGTCTATGCCCTTTCTATGTTCATAGCCCCACAACCTACCTCTCACTCCCTGGTTGTCAGCTGCTGTGATTCAGTGCAGTGTGTTCACCGTGCACAGGGCCACTCTAAACACAGTCCCCTGTACCTGACTCCTAACCACAACTTGTTAGTGTCATGAAGACAGATGAGCTAAGTGAGGCTGGGGCACTACATAAAATATACTGGGATTTGTGTTTCCTATTCTTCTACCTCTACTCACCTCCACCCTTGAAGTGTCCTCAGGACCTTGAATAAGACAGTCATACATTTTGTAAATTAGCTAATTTTTACACAAGCCCCTCCTGATCTTTGTTGCTCTTTTTCTACCCCTGGAATTTGTCCTCATGAAATTGTCTTCTGAAATTATTTTATTATCCCTTACTCACTTGATAAAATATAGAGTAGAATATCCACCTACCCATCTCCATAGGCCTCCATAGTTCCCATGTCACCACATACTTTCCACCCTACCTTTATGGTCAGGGAGTGTCTTATGTCTATGACCTTCAGTGGATCTCCTGAGCTCCTTGGCTACTGAAA